AATTTATGAAGTTATCGATGTTTATTGAATTAGCATTATTTATAGATTTTGCGAAATTTATCGAGTTATCGTCATTTATCGAATATTTTTAACTTATATAATAATAATAATAATAATAATAGATTGGCGCTTACACATATGTTAGTGTTTGGCCGAGCTTCTCCTCCAACTTGTGGCGTGCGCCTTGATATTGTCACACAAAGCGGAGGGACCTACAGTTTTACGCCGACTCCGAACGGCGATTGTATTTTTATGAGAAGCTGTTTTTCATGGCAGAAATACACTCGGAGGTTTGCCATTGCCTGCCGAGGGACGACCGCTGTTAAGAAAAACCTTTTTCTAAATTTTTTGCGATGTTGCTTTGACCTTATATAGTTATCTATATTTATTTATAGTTATCAATATTTATTTATTTACTTGAATTTGTCGATTTATCGAATCGAAGTTTTTGGAACTTTCAAAATATATCAAGTTATCGAAATTTCAAGGTTATATAAGTTGATCGAGTTATCACTGCTTATCGAATTTTATCGTGCTACCAGAGTGTAACGAGTTGTTGATGGCTTTCGAAAAATGTGAAGTTATAAAAATAAACCGAGTTATCGAAATTTATAGAGGTATCCAAACTTTATCGAGTCATCGATTAATATCTACATATATATATTTTTTTGGAGTTATCGAAATTTATCAAGCCTTAGAAGCGCACAGTTATCGAAAATTATCGAAATTAGTCGAGTTATCGAATTCTGTTGAGTTACCGGATTTTAGCGTTTCTAAAAGTGCTAAAATTATCGATATGTATCAAGTTATCGCCAAAATAGAATGTATCGGTACAATTCCCAGTTTTTCCAAAGTTCTGCAAAAACTTTCGGGCTATTAAAAATCTACAAAAGCTATCGAATTTCGACGGTAGTTGGCACTCCGAGTATAAAAAATATATTTGAAAACGAGCCGAGCGCCTCTGCGGCTAGAGCTACATTTTGTAGGTTGTATAATATTTGTTATTAATTATTATGTAAGCTTTTTTAAGTAAAGATAAATAAAAAATTTGGAAACATAAAAGTAAAGGGCAGCATAACGATAATTTTTATTTACAAAAAATTGGATTTCGTGTTTTAAAGAGATAGAATATTTTATTTGAATCTATTTAGCTTAGATTTTGAATGACATTTGGAAAGCTGTACTTCTTTTTCCTTTTTTGATATTACGAAAAAATCTATTTATTCATTGAAATACTTAAAATAGTTTGCCGTTTTGCGTTTACGTTTACGATACCGGTTACGATAAGCTAAGCGGGTACGTTTATGGCCACGAATGCGGTAACGATTACCATTGCAAATAAGACAAAGACTACGTCTACGTTAATGTTTACGTTTACGTTAATGTTAACATTTGCGTGTACGTCTACCATTACGATTGCAATTGCGTTTTCGATAACCATTACAAGTATGATAACGGTAACGAATAATATTATCATCACGATTACGATTACTATTAAGGGTACGATGAAGATTACGGTTACGTTTACGGTTGCTATTAAGATTACGATTACTATTACTTTTATGTTTTCATTTACGACTGCGATTATGACTAAGATCGCATTAGCGACTACGATTATTATTACGATTACGATTATGATGACGCTTGCGATTACGATTACATTGAGGTTTACGATTACGACTTCGATTACAATTACAAATACGATTACATTTACGTTAACGATTAAGTGTACATTTACAATTAGGATTACATTTACGTTTAAGAAGTCCTACAGGGTTACGCTACTGCCAAGCGAGTAACATGCGATCATACACCGAGTTCGGCTTATTGGCAGAGCTTAAATTAAATTATTACTATGATCAATCGATTTTTTATTCATACGTTTATACATATTTGGTGGTTTCAAATTTTTTTTTTCATAATTTTTTTCTTATTTTATTATTTTTTTTTTAGATTATTCTTTTATTTGCTTACCGCTCGACATCAGCAACCTGTTCGCTGGCGCTTATTCTTTCAGCACGTTTAATAATTTTGCGAGGGCTTTACTAGTACATACATACATATATATGTGCATACAATATGTTCGTTAATCACCTTTTTTTCTCAATTTTGATCTACACATGTCTGTATGTATGTGTTTGCGAATTATTACAGCACAATTTTTTTCCGCTCGAGCTTACCAATTTTGTAGTAAATCCATTGATGGCGTCGTCAGTGCAGCGATTGACAGCAACATACCCGGCCATTGACGCCTTTGTTGGCCGAGTGGTTTGTGACAGTTGAGGCGTCGCCGGCAGCGGTAATAAAGCTAATACGCGTACCGTTGGCGTTGTCAACACTTTATTCTTTGTTAACTTTAATAGTTTTTGACATTTTACTTAGACGGTCTTTCAATCTTGATGCGGTCATTGCTATTTTTATTTAGCTGAAAAAAATTATGAGTGGTTTTTGTCGTTTGGAAGCGGTTGCCAGATGCAGATTTGCGGTGATATGAGCACAGTTGCAATTAGTTTTTTGTTCATATCGACACTTATTTAAGAGAGCTAGCTTATATTTTTCCGCGGATCTACAAATTTCGAATGCTCTCGCCTTAAAAATTGTTCAATCGATTAATCGCTCTCAGCGAATTTTTGAACATGGAAGAAGTCAGTCATCTTTATGTGATACAATACTTTCATTCGAAAGGTCCAAGTCCAACCGATATCAAAGCCTAGTGGAATTCTCTTCTTTGGTGTTTTCCCTTTCCGACGTGAGGATGCTTCGATCGGGGATTTAGCAATATTTTGCAAAAATTCGAATTGCTCTCTAACCCTCATTCTCCAGATCAGACCCCTTCAGATAATTTTCTTATTTCAAATCAGAAAACATGGCTTGGGTGTAAAGAATTAGCAATGAAGAGGTACGGTTAATAGCTAGTTTGAGAAACTTGATGATTCCTACTAAATATAAATAAGGCATTGAAGATGATGAATAACGTTGGTAAAAGAGTATCAAGGTAAAGGGAGATTAACCCCTCTATTCTAATCGAGTCACAAAACTTAGCTCATCACCGTTGTGATTGCTAGTGTGCCGTAAAATTTGCCACAAAAATTCGATTTTAAAGCTTGAAAAATACACAAAACTTAAAAATGTGTGTTGCAGCAGCAAACTTTGAGACGCAGTAGAAATCACAGCAGTGACAAGCTAAGGTTTGCGACTTCGTTAGAATTTGGCTGTATGTAAAAAAAATAAAACTAACTTCGAAATTTTTTAATGGTTTTCTTTGTGAGGTCCAGTACTTCTAGCACCTCAAAAGCTGCGCATGAGAGTCATGTTTCTCTTCTGAAAAGCATCGAGTTGGAGTGCGAAGTTTCGAACACACAATCACGAAAATTGACTTTGACTACAACTAAGGGCCTGATGTCTTCTTTCAGAAAGTTTTTTTTTTTTTTAGTGGGATTTTCAGATGACTGAAACGAATTTTAAATGTGTATATATACTTGAAATTGACGCCGTGGTGAAGCAGGTAAGCACAATCGAACTACGCGTCATCAAAAATCGCATTATTGTTGATGATCAAGTTGCTTTCAAGGTCCTTTGGCCACCTCAGAACTGCAGTTTGATGATGTTCGCCTTGTTTTGTGGGGTCTCGTGAAGGATTTATTTTATGCAAACAATCCATGCGATTCAGGCCTTAAAGGCAAATTTCGCGCAAGCCATGAGTGAGATAGAACAAAAAACCATCATCAAGGTCTTGGAAAACTGGATTAACAGGATGGGCTATTATGAAGCCAGCCGAGGCAGCCATATGAGAATAATTGCCCTTACAAATAAACCAATAACATACCGAAATAATTTTTTTTTTTTTAAAGAAACCATTACATGGATTACCGTTGAAGGATAGTTTAAGGACACAACGGAATTCAAGAAAAAAATTTGGAAGCAGGCGAATGCGCTAGAAAGGTCTCTGAGATAATTTTAAGTGCAAGTGGCTCAAATCATAGAGTTTCCCCCTACATTTCTCTTTGCACGAGTAGATAGTAGTCTTTGGCTACTGCTCGATGAACGAAGAAAACGGATCTTGCTAAAAGCTCTCGCAAAAGGAGCGTTCGTCTTCTGACTGAAATCATGTCCGAAGCTGTACATGAAGATTTCGGTAGAAGCTGTACATTTAGAGCTTCCTATGCGGAGACCGCTAAGGGAATACCCGAATAAATTGTCCACTAGGATGCTGTGTAAAATGAGACTGCTTCAAAGGTATGTCGATGCAAGTCCGCAGAAGTCCTCTCTGGTGCATGAAAATGGTTTCAAGTGGCCTTCAGGTGAATTCTTTCTCCAAATAAAATATTTTATTAAGTAGCTTCTTATTATATATTTTTTTAAGATATTTCTCCCACGTTTTCTATTAGGTTTTTTTTTTTAAATTTATTAAACTATTATTCCCTTCAAAAACATAAAAATTACCTGACATGAAAATATTAGTCGTGCTACATAGTTTTAACATAAAGTGTACACGACTTTGTAAACGTAAATATATACATACATAGCAAGCAATCACCAGCTGTCAGTGCGTATAAGCAATTACCAATTGTCACTAATTAATTCGCGCGCAGAAAGAGGACAAAGAAAAGCAAATGCGCACGCACACGCTCTCCCAAATGCCAACACAAGGCAATACAAAAGACTTAAGCTACGAACTTGCAAAAGATGTCACCGCGTAACTAGTAAGTGGAAAACAACAATGATAAAAATGCCGAAAAACATGTTGTCACGACTTCTTCCACTACTTTTTCGGCATGGTTGACATGCAAAGTAATGCACACCCCACCTTGCCTCCCCAACACGCTGCCCCCTTAAACCAAGTGACACACTGCCAACCTTAAAAGTAAATATCACGCCTTCAATCGCGGCCACCACTTGTTATTGATTTTTTGTGTTGTTGGATTTTTCATTATTTTTTTTTGTTGTTGTTGTTATGCCACACTGACCGCTACGGCTACTGTGGCACTGCTTCCTGCTGGCTACAATTGCTGCTGTTGTTGCTGTTGGTGGTTGGACTTGTAGCGGCGTTGTTGCGTGCCGTCTCGTGCACTACTCAACCGCTGCGTCGTCGGTGCGCGCTGATCTTCTTCAACCTTACGGTAAATTTCAATTTGATTTGAACAAATCGACACGATTTGCATTGCCACATTCGATCGCATGCCACATTTCTTTCGCCTTTCTTTCAGTTCGTGCGCGCGGGGTGGCTTACGAACGCTTTCGCCTTTGAGTGGCCGCTGGCTGGTTGGTTGGCTGGTTGACTGGCTGGCTGGCTGGCTGGCGTGCAAAGCGCTACTGCCATTTTCGCCTATAGCATTGTTTATACATATTTATTCATTTACTTAACTCGGTTTTTTTTTTTGCTTTCAGTTTGCCTTCGATTTGTTTTCGACAATCAATTTGATAAAGGGGTAAATCCCATATATCAGCCATGCCCAGTTGATGTGTGTGCGTGCGTGCGTGCGCGGCACATTTCAATGCTCACTCGTCGACTTGTCGCTGACTGCGCTGCTGTGGCGTTGCGCTTAATTTCACCAAACATGCAAAGTCACACCAAAAACTTATCAGCAAACTAAACTATTTACAACAACACTTTTCACATGCCTTCACTTCACCTGAGCTAGCTGGTTGGTACTGGCGTTGTCACTTTGCCGCCATATTTGGCCAAATTCAAGTGCCATTAACATATTTCCGTATTGTTGCCGCAGCAGTGGTCGCTTGGCATTTGCACGCATTTGTGTTCACTTGTAAATTTGTCACTGCCTCGCCGCATTGCACTGCTGCCATTTCTTAACCATTTGTACCATTTACCTTGGCATTTGGCTTACCGCAGCACTGCTGCTCGCTTTGCTGTGTGTGCAAATGTGTATCATCCTTTACTTACTTTCGTCGGCTACTTGCCTTTGCATAAGTGGCAAAGAAATTTGTCAAGTGCCCTTGTAGTTAAAATTGCTCTCTTTTTTTGACTTTTCTTCTCTTACCTCCTTAAAATTGGTTCACATAACAACAAGTCACTACTTCACTTACTTACTTATATAACAGTGGCAACCTGTCGACAATTGTTGTTACTTTAATTGGTTTATTGCCCACTTTTTTGTGCTTACTTAATTCGATATAACCTTTGGCAAGTGTGAAATGTTAACCACTTTTCGATTGCCACCACTCGACAGTGTGAAGTTATTAACCCAGTAAACAAATTGCTGACATTGGCGTTGTGCTCATTAGGGACACTCTTTATTTGGCTTCGTTTGTTTTTACTCTTTTCATTTTTTTTATCGTGTTTTTGTGTATTCACGTGTATGTACTACGTGTACACAACATTCGGCTGCTATTCTAGTGTCTTAGTTAGCTTAAAAAAAATAATCGCTTTGCATTTGACTTTTTGGTTAAATAAAATACGTTTATATGGATTTAAGTCTTTGGATTTTGTTGTCATCACATAGTAAAAAGGCAACAATCAAATAACGGTATTGCTATTTTGATTAAAAGCTTGCTATGCATCAAAATAATCATGGTCATTGCCATTACAATTACCATTACTATTACCCTTGCCATAGCCATTACCATTGCCATTGCAATTACCGTTACGACTACCATTACTACTACTATTACCCTTACCCTTACCATCACCATTACCAATACCATGACCATTGACATTACCATTATCATTACTATTGCAATTACCATTACTATAAGCATTACCATTAGCGTTAATATTGCCATTGCCTACTATTATCATTTCCAATGCCATTGCCATTACCATTACTATTACTATTACAGATAATTGTTACCATTACGACAATAATTACCATTACCAATAATATTACCATTACCATTACTATTATCTCATCATTATCACTAATATTACCAGTATAACTACCATTACCAGTATAATTACCATTAACATCGCCATTACCATCTCAATTACCAATGTCATTACCATTACCAAAAATATTACCATTACCATCACCATTCCAATTACTTCATCATTATAATAACCAATACCATTACTGCTACCACAGTATTAAAATAAACTTGTTTCATATGGTAAAAGAAATATACCTTGAAACAGACCTGTTAAATTATGATTAATAATCATAATTAGTATTGATTAAAGCACGTTTTTTTTGGGTAACCGTTTAATGATTAAATACCATTATTTTCACCTTTTTAATGATTAATAACTAATTACTTTCAAAAAAGAAAATTAATTAATTAATTAATTCAAATAATTAAAAAAAAATTATTTGATTAAATTTGATTATTTTTTATTATTTTTGTAATGACTACTAATCATGATTATTTTTGATCATTTTTAATTATAATTGATTATTAACTGCTGGCTTATATAAGAAAACTAAAATATTTATTAAAATTAAATAATGCATAAATTTTTAATGATTACCAATCGTAATGGAAATTTAACAGCTCTGCTTTGAAATTAACTTCGTGAAAATATTCCAACTTCCATTTCATAGGTTCGAGGAAAAAAGAGTTGGTCTGTCCACACTGGTTGAAAGTTATGAATTTATAAGTGTAAAGGAGGGAAAAGTGAAATCAGTGATTTTTTGAACGAAGGATATATTTTACGCCAAAAAAGCATTTAATTTCACAACATAGTCTCCTTTTAGCTCGATGCATTTGGTCCGGCGTTTTTTTCAAATTTATTATATATAGGAAAAGTATACATTTAAGAAATCTAATTTTATAAATCTCAATTAATGTATACCAAAATCCAATGCAAATTCTCGGCCCATTCCTAAAGAAAGCAACCAGCTGAAATGAAATTTCTATTCGCACTTTTTTTTTTTTACATATCGGTGTTTGTTATTTATTCAACTCTTTTAAAGGTCGTTGCCATGTACCGTGAGTTTTGATTTCAATTTTCAATTCCGGTTAAGTATAATACCTACATACTTTTTTTCTCAAAATTGCAATTGCATTGCAACAAAGTTTGGTGTGTACTAATACTCGAAAATTTATTCACTTTCTCTAACAAAAATGAATTCAAACTTTCTGCTCATTAAATCAGTAACGCCTAATAGTGCATTTCATAAGTGTCAAAAATGTCACTAAAAAGCGACATTTTATACATACACACATAGCTATAAGGTAAGCGCATATATCTACATACATATATATTTTAGCATGTTTGTATGTAAGTACGAAAGTACTGGATATTGTGAAGATTGCAATCGAATGCAATATTTCGTATTAAATTGGCAAAGCAAGATGCGCCAAGAAGCCGCGCCCAATTAGCGAAATTCAAATTTGCACACAAATATGCATAATGCATATACATACATACATATATAGGTAAAAAACTTGTAGTGATACAACAATTTTGTATTCATACAAGCTAGAGAGTAAACTAACGAGTGGAAATACATATTAATTTTTCCTAAATTAAAGAAGCTTGTACTGTATTCACAGAGGAAATCGAAAAATCCAAAAAAATTATCACCAAAATCGTTTTAGAGGACAGAGGTGACATGATTCGTTAATATTTATGAAGCTTTCTTAATTTCATTAATAAAAGAACGACGCCTGATATGGCTGGTTTTTAAGTGAGCCATGAGCGGTAACATTACAATGAATATAAAGCTTGTGGAGTAGTGCCTGTCGCACTCACAGACTTACTGCTAAAAGAAATTTAAGTAGCACGTTACTAAATTTTTACCTTAGTTAGCTTCCCAGCTATTCACTGCCTACAGCGCTGTCCAACTTTAAAAATCAAGCTAAATGGCATAATTCATTAAACTCAGCTTGATTCATTGAGTCAACTCACCAAAATTTACTGTGTTACCTAGATCTGTAGTTGGAGTTCACTTTCGGACTTCACGATTGAAAGCCTGGTATCATAATTCATGAAAAAATCCATCAAGTGCTTGGGCTGTGAACTTTTGGGTGGAAGATTTCATTAAGCACATTTTCATTAAACAGGCTGTTTGAGTTCGAAAAAAGGTCGGGATAATGTAGAAAATTACGGATTCGTGTAGGGGTAGTTATATTTTCCTTGACATATTTTCCTTTTGATTATATAACCATCAGCCGAACTCTTGATAACAACAGTCCATCTACATAATCTTACTAAGCTTAACCTTTTATTATTGTTGTGGATCTATAGTACACAGCAAACCTCGACTACTAAATATTATTATTACTGGAACTTTCATATGAAAGCTCAACGAAATTGAGGGAAGTGATTTCTGCGCTTGAACAGCTGATGGATAAATTTAGTGAAAATATTGATACCACACGGGATGAAACATTCATCATCAATGCCATAGAAACATTCGATTTCGTCACTCTTTTGTTATTTTTTGGGCCGAAATTCTATCGTCTTTGGATAATTGCAAATTTTGACAGACAACCTGAATGATGGGAGAACTGTTGCAATTAGTGGATAATGCTCCGTCAATAGAACCGGGAAAGAGCAATTGAAAGGCTCTATAAGATAGCTCTGCTCATATTTATGTCAGATAAGCATCCTTTGCATGATTTACACGTACGGCACCTCACATTAGGAATGGAAAATCAAAAAAAATTCATTTTTTATTGATGATTTCTATGTAAAAGGAACTGATCTTTCGATTGAGATAACTAAAAATAATATTAAAAAGGATCATCATTAAGAAAAATTACAAATAAATTTTCGTTTAGAATTTTCACCATGAAAATGGGAAAATTTTGGAAAACACATAGCAATGCCGGATAGCCCGTACAAAAATCTATAGAAATCATAGTCTTCAAATTATTTTTCCCATTTTCTGTGTACTTTCTAGTTAGCTAGTCGAAAGTAACTTGTTTTGCGCCGCTCAGCGCGCCGGTAAATAAAATAAATAAAATAAAAATGCGGATAGACCCAGTGTCCAATTAATCGAACAACCATTATCTCGTTAACTAAAAATCGCAAAATCTTTTTGACCACAATTTCGAGTTTAATTATCTACCCATTTTTACCCTAGTATTTATGGAGATTTCATCAAGATATTCGAGAAAAAAAAATTGTCGGTTTGAAATGGGTTAATATTGATCTTAACTTGAGTCAAACTATTAAGTCTTGCAATTTTTCCAATTGAAAGTGAAACTGCGATGCTATGAAACGCCAGATCATTTGAGAATTGCAAGAACTTCTTCACCAGCATAACGCTTTCGATAGGCAAAGGAAAATATGCCAACTGACGACGTTAAAACCATAATCGGAGCTGATAAATGTGGTCCAAAATATTTCAATAAAAAAATTAATTTTGAGCGCGACGAAGTTCGCCGAGTCGGCTGGTATATAATAAATGAGGCCGAACCTGAAAACGCTCTGAATATTTTTTACACTGGCAACCTCAAACAAATTTCCAAAATTAATGCATATTGCAGAATAGTAAGTAACAAATTGGTGCTAGACAGTTCAAAGAGACAAAAAGAAAACCGATTTCCATACTATAATTGTGTTTCACTGTAGTTGTATGTATTTTGGTTTTGACGCACTGTCAGTACGCGCCACATCAAGTGGAAATGGAAATGAGGCACAGCAGCGCGTTCGCCGCAACGAAGTGTTTGCTCAACATACAGTACACTTGTCTCAGCTGCAGCAAAACTTAAAAACAAACAATCAAAAGAAAAACAAAAAACAAGCGTAGAGACAAACAATAATACAACAACTAAAAAAACTACAACAATACCAACAGCGCCGAATGCAACTCGTCAACGCCAACGCGCGATTTGTCTGCAACTACGGACATACATACATACATTCATTCATATCAAAATGCTGGTTGCCACAACAACAACAACAATAACAACTGTGTGCATTTCAACAAGCGCGCGCGCAGCATGCAACACTGCCCGATGAGACGCCTCTTCACAAATGCTGCACTGCATTGACTCTACCTGCATCTCGCTCCCCCCTAACCACTTCGCTTACCACCGTCCTCACCGTTTTTCTTAACTCCTGGCCGCGCCAAAATCAAGTCAAAACGTCAACTCGAAAGGGTGCTGCATCTGTGTTGTTGTTATAAGTTTCTGCTTTCATTGTTGTTATTGTTCACTTAACTTTGGTTGCGTTTGCGGCAGTGCCCCTAATTGAATTCGTCGGCTTAAATAATTCAGCCGCAGGGCTTCAAGCCAACGAGCAAAGTCAAAAAAATATTGCAAATAAATTTAAGTTTCAAGAAAATCCCGCAAAACGGTTTTTACTTTTAGGTGCTGCCTTTTTACTTTTTTCGATTTTTCTTTTCTTTTTTTTTGGAGCGCGCTCTCAGCCACATCCTGCGATTTTTGAGGCGCTTGTGATGCGTTATTGTTTATATTCGTTAAGATATATTTTTTTACTGCAAGCCAACATTGCCATTCCTCAGGTTTGCTTTTTTTTCTTGTAATGTAACTTCTTCCACGCTTAAATGCTGCCTTTTTTCGGGACAATTGATTTTTTCGCAACCTCCCACTCAAAAGTGTGGCTTACCCACAAGCAGGTGACGGTGGTCCAAGGTTTCGTTACGGATTTTACTTTTAATTTATTTGTAGTTTAATGAATATAAAGTAGCCTGAGAAAAGAGTTAATTTATGTCAACACAGGAATTGGTAACCCATAACACACAAAACTTATTAATTTAGAAATTTTTAACGATAGAAGTTTTCGTAGCTATTTAAATATATAATCCGACTGCTGTATTCGTAACCTCGGAGATAACTTTGACGAATATAAGTATCAGGTCTTCGTATCCAACGGCATAGTAGTCACACTCCTGTAGGCCGATTAAGAACTCG